AAAAAAAAAAACCAAAGAAGCTAATATCTTGTCCATTATAGTCTCAAGTCTAAAGTTTCACGGGATCTTATATGCACATTTTGTTTCCAGTATCCCGGTTATATTACTGACACGTGCTCTGTCCATCCAACGTATTCACATCATGTTTATGCTTGCAGGAAATGAAAGCTCAAGGAATTGAAGAGGATCGACTAGAGCTTTTGAAAGGTGTCAGCGGTGCTTTCCGGCCTGGAGTTTTGACGGCTCTGATGGGCATTAGTGGGGCTGGAAAGACGACTTTAATGGATGTTTTGGCTGGTAGAAAAACAGGTGGATATATTGATGGAAGGATCACAATATCAGGGTACCCAAAGAAGCAAGAAACGTTTGCGCGCATAGCAGGCTACTGCGAGCAAACTGACATTCACTCTCCTCATGTTACAGTGTATGAATCCTTGCAGTTTTCTGCATTGCTTCGTTTGCCTCCAGAAGTCAACACTACAAACCGAATGGTAGTTTCTATATTAGCACACCGAATTTGCAAAATTGCTTTCGAAGTTCTGTCATTTCGTTAATTTTATAACTTACCCCAAATTATTAAATAAATCTCAGATGTTCATCGAAGAGGTCATGGAGTTAGTTGAGCTTACTCCATTGAGGGAAGCACTCGTAGGGTTACCTGGAGTGAATGGTCTTTCAACCGAGCAACGGAAGAGATTAACCATAGCAGTGGAGCTCGTAGCCAACCCGTCCATTATTTTTATGGATGAGCCTACCTCAGGGCTCGATGCTAGGGCAGCTGCCATTGTAATGAGAACAGTGAGAAACACAGTGGATACGGGTAGGACTGTGGTGTGCACCATCCATCAACCTAGCATTGACATATTTGATGCTTTTGATGAGGTTAGTATACGGTATAAGCTCTGTGTTTCGCCTCCTAAGCTAATAAAGAAAACTGAAACACAACTACAAACAATTGCAGTTACTACTATTAAAACGTGGAGGTGAAGAAATATATGTTGGGCCATTGGGAAGGCATTCGTCTGAGCTCATCAAATACTTCGAGGTGAAATAATTAGCAAAAGTTGTTTTTAAGAATTCATAACATTGACTCAGTTCTGATGTGAATCTAATTTGATTGCACCCCTCCAGGTCATCGATGGAGTCCAAAAAATTAAAGACGGTTATAATCCAGCTACATGGATGCTAGAGGTAACTTCAACAGCACAAGAAGCAGCTCTTGGAGTTGATTTTGCAGAACTGTACAAGAGCTCAGAACTACACAGGTACTTAAGTAAATTTAAGTAATTTACTCTATTACTTAAAATTGATTTGTTTACGTCTTGGGTGGATAAATCAGGAAAAACAAAGAATTGATCGAGGAACTCAGTAAACCATTTCCTGGTTCAAAAGAACTATATTTCCCTACACAGTATGCACAGTCTTTCTTCATCCAATCCATGGCTTGCCTTCGGAAACAGCACTGGTCATATTGGAAAAATCCACCTTACACTGCAGTGAGACTTCTATTTACAACGTTTATAGCCATAATGTTTGGAACCATATTCTGGGATCTTGGCTCCAAAAGGTAAACAGATGTTAAAAGTTAGATCGACCCCGCAATTATTTTCTGAAACAGCAATCCTTTGACATATTTGTGGACATGATTTCAGGAAAAAGAGGCAAGATCTCTTTAATGCCATGGGTTCCATGTATGCTGCTGTTCTATTTCTTGGTGTGCAAAATGCTACATCAGTGCAGCCAGTAGTTGCTATTGAGAGAACGGTTTTCTATAGGGAAAGAGCAGCAGGGATGTATTCTGCTCTGCCTTACGCTTTTGGACAGGTACTTAAAATTAGAGTTCAGTTCCTTGCTTAAATAACACCTATAAGAATTATATGAACAAATTCTCATGAAATCACTCGGTGTGCAGGTGGTGATTGAACTTCCGTATCTATTCATTCAAACGCTTATTTATGGCGTCATAGTGTACGCCATGATTGGATTTGACTGGACTGTCGCCAAGTTCTTTTGGTACCTCTTCTTCATGTACTTCACCTTGTTGTACTTCACATTCTACGGGATGATGGCAGTGGCCGTAACACCTAATCATAACATAGCTGCTATAGTTTCATCGGCATTCTACACATTATGGAACCTTTTTTCAGGATTCATCATTCCAAAGACGGTATATTTCTTACCATATCCCGAGCAAAATGTGATAATATCCAACTCAACGTATTAAAACTCTTTCTTTTTTCTGGTTTTTGACAGAGAATCCCGGTGTGGTGGAGATGGTACTATTATATATGTCCAATTTCTTGGACATTGTATGGATTGGTTGCTTCCCAATTTGGAGATTTCCAAGATGAGCTTGAAGGAAATGAAACAGTGGAGCATTTTATAAGAAGTTACTTCGATTTCAGACACGACTTTGTGGGATACGTTGCAATAATTATAACTGGAATATCAGTTCTCTTCGGCTTCATCTTTGCATTCTCAATAAGGGCGTTTAACTTCCAAAAAAGATAATCCTTTCTAGATGTGTATATTAAAAAAATATTGGGCCATTTTGATAAAGA